CAACAGAACCAGAAACCAAGTAAGGGAACCCACCACAGCCAGCAATGCAAGAGGTTGTGTGAATGAGTGTGTGAGAGAGAGTTATTGTGTCTGAGTGTGCATGTGTAAGAGAGTGTCTGTGTGACAGGGACAGTGCGTGAGTGTCCATATGAGAGTTAAGTCTGTATCACTTTGTGTTTGAGAAAATGTATATGTGTGACAGAGTAAGGTCTGTGTGTGTGACAGAGTAAAAGTGTGTGTAACAGAAAGTACGTGTGTCTGAGCATGTGTGGGTTTGAGTGCAAGTACGTGAGTGTGTCTATACAGGTGCGTACTTGTGTAAGTTAAGTACAATTGAATAGGTTTCATTGTGTACTCATGTACACATATGTTTGATGTTCATTTATGTGTATATTTGATGCTTGTGTATCAAACTCTATCTCCTTTGAAACCCTCAGTTCTTTCTCCCACAATATGTGACTATGCCTTCAGATGTCGATAGACACGATGGTGCTAGAAATCGGGAATTCCCTCACTGAACCTGTCTTCTTCCCTACCAGCCTTCTTTGATACACTCTGTACAGATGGCAGGTACGGATGCTTCTGTAATGGTACAGATGGCCATTGGCTCAATCCAAATGGTGCACCTTTCTGCTGATCAGCATAAAACATCAGCAAGGACACGGTTTTGGTGTTAGACCCAGGAGTGTGTCAGGTGGAAATGTGAGGAATCTCTCCTTCAAGAAAGGCTCTCATGCTGTTTCTCACTCTTACAGGTGATGTGTGGGATTATAGCAGCATTTTTACACTACTTGTTCCTGGCTGCGTTTGTTTGGATGTTTCTGGAGGGAGTCCAGCTCTCTCTCATGGTCAGAAATATCAGGAATTTGAGGGTTCCCCAAACGGAAAAAACCGAAAAGTTCATGTACCTACTTGGTTACGGGGTCCCTGCAATAATTGTGTTCATTTCCGCTGCAGTGTATCGCGATGGCTATGGCTCACCCAGGCAGTAAGTAATGGCTCCTCCGTTTCAAATCTTACAGCTAAAATTATCACCTTCTCGTTACAGCCATTGTAAGAATTTAACATTCTTTCTATTTGTGGCACACTCGTTTTTGTCAATAATAATAGCTTTAACTTCAAGCATTCAAGCCCCACTCCAGACTTTAACTACAAAAATCTGACGTTTCAACACAGCACTGAGGGACAGCTGCACTGCAGAGATGCCATTCTTCAGCTGAGGCATTAAACCAAAGCCCCATTTAACTGCTTAGGTGGATATAGACGATCCGATGGGAAAGAACAGCAGTATCCTGATTGGTATTTATCCCTCAATCAACATCACAAGAAAGAGATTACCCCAGTCAGTAGTACAATGCTGTTTGTGGCAGTTTGCACATTGGCTGACACTTTTCCGACTTTACAAAAGTGAATACACATGAAAAGTAATTCATTAACTTTCACGTGCTTTGAGGCATTCAATGTGCCTTGTGTGCAAGTTAGTGGTTATATTATTCGTAAAGAGCTTGGGACTGATTTGTGACTGAATGATATGTGAATACATATCCTGAGGATTCACTGCGGTCATGCACTGAGTAACAAAGTATCAATCTGTCAGTCCGCCAGCCAAAGGGAAAATGGTGAGAAATACACACTATGAAACTCCAGCATTTTTGATTTGACTACTTCTCGGCGATGGGAACCAGAAGATATGGTCTCATTGTATTTTTCCTCCCAAGTTCAGCTTTCCTCCTTTCACCTACACCACTGGGCTCTCTTTTCCTCGTAACTTTACTCATGATCTCTCCTCTCTCTCTTCTCATACATTTTGTTCTTTATCCATTTCCAATCTGTCCATCTTCTTCCCCACCTAACCAGCCCACTCTTCCCACTGACCAATCCCCACCGCACTACCCCTACCTGCATCCACCTATAACCATCCTACCTACCTTTCCCCAGCCCCACCCCTCCTCCCTCTCGCCTCCCTGACCTGACACAACCTGTCCATCCTCTCTCCCACCTGTCTGTGCCACCGTTCCCATTGACCAACCCCCTCTACTCCCTACCTGCATCCACATATCACCATCCCACCTGCCTTACCCCAGCCCCACCCCTTTTCATCTCCTTTCGCCCTCGTCAGTTCTGAAGAAGGGTCCCGACACGAAACCTGGACTTTCCTACTCCTCTGATGCTGCCTGGCCTGCTCTGTTCTTCCAGGTGCACACTGTGTTAGACTCTGACCACAGCATCTGCAGTTCTTGCTATCTACCATTAGAATTTTGTTTTATTCATGAATAGTTAGTAGTTAAGGTGGAAATTGTTCAATTTGTTAGTATTTCTGTTAATTTCTTCACTATTATGGTAAGATAAATAAATTACTTTTTGATTGGACAGTGACTGTCAGGAGTTCATTTCATTTAACCTCCCCCTTCTAACAGAGTTGGGGGGTGGTGTGCGTTGTTTGGTGGGAGGCAGTTGTACCACTTTCCACACTGTCTTTAACAGATTATGAGCTGAGGTGAGGTGAGCTTCTCTGGCTGTTTCGGTTTTAGTTATCAGATGGGGATCGACGTCTGCTTCATAACACCATTCTTTCAGAAAGTGCACTTCAGATCGTCAACATTTGCAGTTGTTTAATTCATTTTTTGTCAAAAGCATTTGTGACATTTGCTAACCACAGTAATGGTTGAGGGATGGAAAGGTCTTGGGCCGATAAAAAGAGAAGGGAAACCGAGAGTGTTGGCAGCAGATGTGGGGCAAGTGAAAAAGGGATGAAGCGCATGTCCTTGTGTTGGGAAAATGGCTAAATCGGCAGGCATGCTATCGACGTGAAGTGAGTGACCCAATTTTATACAAAATGTGACTGTCCCCAAAGGGTGGCTGGCCTGCTGGCATTAAGGCAACTCAAGAGTAGTATGCGCCATATGCAAGCAATGGAAATGCACATAAAACTGACAGCACATGGAGAGAAACCTAATTAGGGTACATCAGCCAATATGTATCATAGCTCATTGGTGGCCTAAGGCCTGTTTGTGGCACAGCTTTGGTTCAGTCACATCAAGGAATGGAAACCTGCAGTGAGGGGCTTTTCTCATAAGAAACGGTTGTAAAGGGTGGGAGTATATCCATTGGGGTTCAGAAGGATGAGAGGTGATCTAAATGTGACATATGAGATCCTGAGGAGACTTGACAGAATGGATCCATTCTGATAAGATGTTTCCCCTTGTGGGAGACCAAAACTAGGGGGTAGTTTAAATACAAAAGGGGTCACCAATTTAAGACAGCAACGCAGAGGAACTTTTTCTCTCAGAGGATTGTGAGTCTTTGGATGTCTCTTCCCCAGACAGTGGTGAAGGCATGGTCATTGAATATTTCTGACATAGAAGTAGCTAGATTCTTGACTAACCAGGGAGTCAAAGATTATTGGGGGGGCAGGGAGGTAATCAAGTGGGAATGTGGAATTGGAGCCGCAGTCATATCAACCATGATCTTTTTGAATGATGCAGCAGTCTGAATGTTCTAAATGGCTGACTCTTGCTCTTAATTCATTCATAATTTACATTGCTGTAAAGACATTTTATTTTGGAGCGAATACTGTCTGAAATATTTTTACCTACAACTACAAAGAATATCATCATCCAATCAGTGCACAGGTTATAAAAATATTTTTGCAGTCTAAATAGCTCATGCTTCAGGGGTCCTATTCTCTTGTTAATATTCACTGTTCCGAATGATTTACTTTCTTCTCTTAACTTCCAGCTGCTGGATCTCCACAGACAGAGGATTCATCTGGAGTTTCCTGGGACCTGTGTGTCTGATCATTCTGGTAACTTACAAACTAATCATATCAAATCTCTCATGTTTTATTTCCATCTGATTGCATCAACTGATTCTGTTTAAAATGTGCAGTAAACCCCTTTTTTATTCACTTAGCCTCAGTAACAGATTCAAGATCAGCTCCTTCCCCGCTGTGATCCGAATTACGAACACACCTCTCATATATTAGAGTTGATCTTTCTCTGAGTCTCCTCTGTTGCCGTAACACTATATTCTGCATTCTGTAATATTACCGTGATGTACTTACGTAAAGTGTGGTTTGTTTGGACAGCATGTAAAACAGCAATTTTCACTGTAGAATATAGATGGTGAGGCTGGAAAAGCACAGCAGGTCAAACAGCATCAGAGGAGCAGGGAAGTCGATGTTTCAGTCCGAAAACCTTCATCAGGATTGGGGAGGGGAGCCCAGAAATAAATAGAGGGAAGGGGTGGGGCAGGGGAAGGGTAGGAGAAATGGTGAAAGGTCGATGCAAGTAGGGGGTTATTGTGATTGGACCGTGGGAAGGGTGGAGCAGGTAGCTGAGTAAGAAGATGGCCAGCTTAGGTCAGATCAGGAGGGGGAAGGTTAGACATTGGATAAGGCTGGAGGTGGAGGAATTTTGAAGTTGCTGAAGTCAATGTAGAGACCATTGAGCTGTAAGCTCGCAAGGCGAAATATCAGGTGTTGTTCCTCCAGTTTACGTTTGGCCTCATTCTGACAGTGGAGGAGGTCAAGGGTGGACATGTCATCAGGGGAGTGGGAGGTGGTATTAAAATGGATGGCAACCAGAAGGTTGGTTTGATTAATATATGCAGAGCGCAGATGGCTCCCATAGCCCTAACCAACCCCTTCCTCTGACACTCTCATTTGTTTGGCTGAACTGGTATTCACAATCAACAATTTTTCCTTCGATTCCTCCTGCTTCCCTGCACCGAAAAGGTGGCCTTGGGCACCTGCATGGGCCCGAGGTATGCCTGCCTCTTTGTAGGATTTGTGGAACAGTCCCTCTTCCACAACTACACCGGCACCATCTCTCCCCTCCTTCTCCGCTATACTGATGACTGCATCAGTGCAGCCCTGAGCTCACGCAAGGAGCTTGAGCAGTTCATCAATATTGCCAACACCTTCCACCCCACCCTCAAACTGACCTGGACTATTTCAGACACCTCCCTCCCCTTCCTGGATCTCTCCGCCTCCATCTCCATCTCTGGAAACTGACTCATCACCGACTCCCATAACTACCTTGACTACAACTCCTCTCACCCACCTTCCTGAAAAATGCTATCCCAAACTCCCAATTCCTGCACCTTCACTGCATCTGCTTCCAGAATGAGGTATCCTACTCCAGGACATCCCAAATATGCTCCTACTTTAGGGACTGGAATTTCCCCTCCTCAGTAATTAAGGATGCCCTCAACCACATCCCATCCATTTCCCACACTTCTGCCCTCAAACCCCTCCCCCCAACAATAAGGATAAAGTCCCTTTAGTCCTCACATACCAAGACACAATCTCCGAACCCATCACATCATCCTCTGACATTTCCGCCTGCTACAATCAGACCCTGCCACCAAAAAGATATTCCCTCCCCACCCCTATCCGCTTTCCACAGTAACCATTCATTCTGTGACTCCTTCGTCAGCTCTACAATCTCCACCAACTCCTCCCCAACACCCGGTACCTTTCCCTGCAACCACAAGAGGTGCAACACCTGCCCCTACACTTCCCCTCTCACCTCCATTCAAGGCCCCAAACAATCCTTCCAGATCCGGTAGAGATTCGCCTGCACTTCATCCAACCTGATCTACTGTATCCATTGCTCCCAATATGGTCTCCTCTATACTGGGGAGACCAAACACATACTCGGGGACCAGTTCATGGAACATCTGCGCTCTGCACATATCGACCGACACAACCTTCCAGTTGTCATCCGTATTAATTTCCCTTCCCACTCCCCTGACAACATGCCTATCCTTGACCTCCTCCACTTTCAGAGTGATGCCAAACAGAAACTGGAGGAACAACACCTGATGTTTCGCCTTAGGAGCTTGCTGCCCAATGGCCTCAACATTTACTTCACCAGCTTCAAAATCCCTCCACCCATAAGCTTATCCCATGTCTAGCCCTCCCTCTCCTGACCTGACCTGACCTAACCTGTCCATCTTCCTATTCACCTACCGCTCCACCCTTCCCACAGACCAGTCACAATAACCCCCAACCTGCATCCACCTATCACCATCTTGACTACCCTTACACCAGACCCATCCCCCTCCCTCTATTTATTTCTGGGCACCTCTTCCCCTCCCCAGCACTGACAAAGGGTTTCAGCCTGAAATGTTGACTTTCCTGCTCCTCTGATGCTGTCTGAACTGCTGCGCTTTCCTCGCCTCAAACCTTTAGCTTCCAGCATCTGCAGTCCTTATTGTCTCCAAGCCACTTTTCACTGTATCTTGCTACATGTCACAAAAATAAATCAAATCAAATCAGATTAAACTGCCACAAGTAATAATTATCAATTTACTACTCAATTATATACCATTGCTTCCCATAACATACTATTTTTGCACATACTTTCTCTTTATCCCTGAAATAACTCGGTCAGTATCCCATCACCAAATCACCTTTATTTGCACATGCATAGGACATTACACTGACCCAGCTAGCACAGGGCTGGCTCCTAGAGTGAGCAGAACCCCTGATACTCCTGTTTGTATCTGTCAGCTCGAACTCCCTGATTGGGCCAGCAAAATAGTCCCCTATCAAGGAACTCATATTCTATGAGATCCACTTGGCTGACATCATTCCAATCACTGCCCTCCCCGCTCTCCCTGTCATGTTTCGGGGACAGAAACAGTTCTACATTCAGCCAAAGACATTTAGAATTAGAACTAAATAAGCAATGAAAGACGGGTCCTTTCTTACCCATTCTGTGCAGACTCCCTCAGATGTTACATGTGTGTATGGTGGCCTCAAGTGGTTAAGTACACAATGGAATTTTCAGTACACTACACTCTCTCTCCCACAGTCTCTTTTGCACAGCATCTCTTCCTCAACTCCTCAAGGCTCCGTATCTTCTCTTCCTCATACCCTCTCTGCCAAACCTTCTTCACCCCATTGCCACTCCATCCATACCCACTCGCTCCCAGACCCTTTACTTCCCATCTCCATTGTCTGTCTCCCCAGAATCAGTTACTTCAGAGCAGGCAGGGAAAATCCTAATAAAAAAATGTTAGCAGGGAGAACAGTGTGAAATTTCACCATTCTGGCTGTGAACATCACTTGGCAAATCACACAAATTTAAGAATTAAAAAGACCTAATTCCAGACATGTTCCAACAACAATTTGTTGACAGTCATTCAACATATTTTGAAATCTTCCAACAGATCAACACAGCTCTGTACTTCACAATACTCTTGACATTGAAAAGAGAAATTTCCAAGCAGGACACTCAAGTGTCTAAACTTCAGAATACAAGGTAAGGTACTATTATCTCGAACTTTAAGGAAATATTGTTGAAGTTTACACGAACATGTAAAGAAGGGCAAATTGCATAGAAGTTACAAATCTGGAACAGAAGAGGGCAATTTAGCTCTTCAAACCACCTCCAGTATTTAATATATCATCATGGCTGATCTTAACTAGGCCTCAACTCCACTTTCCTGCACTCTCCCAATAACCCTGAAATGTGTTAGTAACTATAAATCTGTCTATCTTCACCTTAGATGGATTCAGAGTCCCAGCACCCACCTCACTCTGATATAGCATAGTGTAACGGGGAAAGATTAGAGACATGGGACTAAGTGGATTTGCACTCCAAAGAACCAACACAGATTTAAATACCTAGACGGCCTCCTTCTGGGTGATATGATTCTATAAAGGTATATTTGGGTACATTCTTAAAAGCTAGCATTACTTCAAGGATTTGCTGACCCAACGCACTGCATGTACAATATTAAAACAATTATTGAACATTAAAAGACACGTTTTACTTTGTTTCACACTTTTTCATGAGACTCTACTATAAAATAGCATTATCACAAGATGCAACATCTCATTCATTAGTTTCTATAACTAACGTACTGCTGGTTATTACCAAATACACATTGTTCTTGGAGCTTCCTTATCCCATTATTTGATTCCGCATCCACAAGCACTCGTAACTGCAGAGCCGCAGAACTTTGATCTGATCTTTTGGTGCCATGGCTACTTCCATTCTCACTGATCTTTTTCTGTCTCTCGTGCAGGATGCTGACATTTAAAGCCATTGCCCAGGTGTTTATCCTGGGCTGCACTTGGATTTTTGGTTTGTTCCAGTTTCAGGAAGAGCCCGGTGTAATGACCTATTTATTCACCATCATTAACAGTTTCCAAGGCACATTTATCTTCATCCTCCTCTGCATATTAAATCCCAAGGTAAACAGTGCTGTGGTCACAGAGTTATGAAGGGGGAGATAGTAAACAGGTATTTTGCATCAGTGTTTACTGTGGAGAAGGATATGGAAGAGAAAGAATGTGGAGAAATAAAAAGCAACATCTTAAAGAATGTCCATATTACAGAGGACTAGGTGCTGTATGCCTTAAGACACATAAAAGTGGATAAATCCCCAGGACCTGATCAGGTGTACCCGAGAACTCTGTGGGAAGTTACAGAAGTGATTGCTGGGTTCCTTGCTGAGATGTTTGTATCATCGATAGCCAGGTGCCAGAAGCCTGGAAATTGGCTAACGTCGTGCCACTATAAAAGAGAGGTGGTAAGGAGAAGCTCGGGAACTACGGACTGGTGACCCTGACATTGGTGGTGAGCAAGTTGTTGGAGGGAAGCCTGAGGGACAAGATTTACATGTATTTGGAAAGACAATGACAGGACATAGGTTCGGCCATTTTTGGATTACTATGTGCAATTCTGATCTCCCTGCTATTGTAAAACTTGAAAGGGTTCAGAAAAGATTTACAAGGATGTTGTCAGCATTGGAGGGTTTGAGCTATAGGGCGAGGTCGAATAGGCTGGGGCTATTTCCCCTGGAGTGTCAGAGGCTGAGGGGTGACCTTATACAGGGTTATAAGATCATGAGGGGCAAGGATAGGGTAAATAGACAAGGTCTTTTCACCCAGTTGGGGCAGTCCAAAACGAGAGGGCGTGGTTTATGATGAGAGAGGAAAGATTTTTGGGATCTAAGGCGCAACTTTTTCATGCAGAGGGTGGTGCATGTATGGAATGAGCTGCGAGAGGAAGTGCTGGAGGCTGGTACAATAACAATGTTTAAAAGGCACCTGGGTGGGTTTAGAGGGATGTGGGCCAAATGCTGGCAAATGGGACTAGATTTATTTAGGATATCTGGTCGGCATGAACGAGTTGGACCGAAGGGTCTGTTTCTGTGCTGTGTATCTCTCTGATTCTATGACTTGAATCCAAACCCTGTCAGGAATAGATATCCGACACAACTTTTGTAAGATTAGCTCAATTAATTACCAGAAGGTTTGCTCACCTTCCAATCAGTTGGATCCATCACTCATCCAGTTGGATTAGCGATGTTAAATGCAAAAGGATGGGGTTACAGAAATCAGGTGGGGGGCTGGGACTGGGTAGGATACTCTTCGGAGGGTTGGTGCAGGCTTGATGGGCCGAATAGCTTCCTTCTGCACTGTAGGGATTCAAATGATTCTATGAATTGAGGACAGACAGCCATTTCCCAATACTGCAAGGCCAATGGAAAACCTTCCAACACTGAGAGAGTTAAAGTCTGCCAATACAGTTAAGACACAGAGAGGGCTCCGCGAGGTGGATGGGGCTTCACAATACTTTTAAAGTAGTTGAAATTCTGATACATATTGTTAATATGTGAAGGTTAGAGATTTAGTGAAATTCAAATTGATTGCATTTAGTTCGATAGCACTGGATCACTAATGACCCGCTGCATTGTGTCCAAAGGTGAGAGCTGCTTATTGTAATTACTTCGCCAGGATGTATAAGGCAATGGACACAGTGGCCTCAGAGGAGGATAAAGCCAACACAATGACGGTCTTATCGGTAAGTACGCTTTGACTGGCATCAATCAGCCTGTGAAATGTAACCACTGACCCCTGATAGGTCACGCCACTGTTAGGGATATGAGATTTAATCGACGATAGGCCAGAAACGAGATGATTCAATCTCTGTTGCACTGACAATTTGACAGTGCAGTGGCTGGGTCTGCAAGAAGCCCCTAGATTCTAAGTCCCAGAATCCAGAGCCAGATAAGGATTTCAAGACTAGAGGGCACATTTTTTAAGGTGAGAGGAGAAAGATTTAAAATAGATATGAGGGGCAAATTTTTCACACAGAGAGTCGTTCACTAATGGAATGAAATCCCCGAGGAAGTGGTGGAGGTGTGTACAATTACAGTGTTTAAAATACATTTGGATAAGTACATGAATAGGAAGGGTTTGGAGGGATATGGGCTTGGATTAGGTATTCGGGACGAATTAAATTTGGGAACATGATCGGCACGGACTGGTTGGACTGGAAGATCTGTTTCTGTGCTGTCCGAATCTGACTGTATAACTCCATAACCTTAAATTACTGCCATTTTTCAAACTGTTGTTTTGAGAATTAAAGATGGAGCCTGTCAAAAAAACTCTCAGGCTCTTTGCATGTCAAGGATAGGAAATTCCAAAGTCATGCATCCACATCAGTGTGTCATTCGCTTGCACCTTTCATACCACCTTTTGGCCCGGCTGAACTGAAACATGTTCAGTCATTAACAATCCCTTTCCTTCATGGGCATCAAAGTAAAACAGAACTTCAAAATGGGTGTTTATTGGTTTCCAACCAATTTCATGAGTTTTGCCTCATTTGTTAAACAATACATAACCTCAGAGTGTCACAGAACTGTATTTGTAAAGATAAAAGAAACCTTCAGCAATTAGGAGTTTCTTTTTCATTTGAAAAACCATTTCTACCTTCACAAATATAGTCACATCAAATTTGGTCAGTATACCTGGACATCAGCACATAAAACGTACAGTGTTTCTTTGCTTCTGTTGATGCTTGTGATAACTTTGTATATCAAAACCACAAATTTTGATTAGAAGTCTGATTAAATTCAGGTCAGGTCAGAGGCTGGAAATTCTGCAGCTAGTATCTCATCTCCTGTCACCTCAAAGCTGAGCCACCACGTTCAGGTATAAGTCAGCAATTTGACGGAAAACTCTCTGCTTGCCTGAAATTGTGCCGCTCCAACAACACTTCAGAAGCTCGGCACCATCCAGGGCAAAGCAGCCCACCTCACCTGTTTCCCAACTGTCATCTTAAACATCTATTCAATCCCCCAATGATGAACAATGTCAACAATGTGGCCCATCTACAAGATACACTGTGAAA